AAGTATTAAAAAAAAACAGAATGTCTATTCTTATTTAAGTTAAAAATGAATTCAACACATGATCAGTTGGATAATTTATGGATCATATTAAATTACAATTAGATAATAAAGTAAAAAAATTTGAAAGAAAAAAAAAATGTAAATTATTTTATAGTAGATACAAGGTATTTTTTTTTCTTAAATCGAAAATAATTATTTCACTGTAGATTATTGACATGAACACTGGGGATTAGTTCATTCAATCATTGACGGTTAAAGTATAGTGTTTGATAGATGAAACACTACCTTGTTAGGGTCTAAGTAATAATTACCATAACTATAAGGTTAAAACGATTAGTTAGCATGACTGAGTATCAATCTCATAGAATTAGATTATTCACTTTTTGTTTTCTCTTACATTCACAGTTCCAAAATCATTTCATACATTTTATTTCATGAATTTGTATTTTTGTTTCTCCATCAAAATGTCTGCATTTAAACGTCTCTACTATCATTGTTGTTGTTACTATTTATACAACTCTGGCATTTATCTATGCTAACATAATATGGTAACTTGAACGAATGTACAAATGTCCCAGGTTATAAGTAGCTTACGATTGGTCGACCAATCTTCATCATATACTGACAAAGCGTTAATAATCTCTATTCACCTGAATAAATACTGATATGATAAGATCTGTGATTATATTCAAAAACCGGTACAGTTATCTTAAAGTCTTAAAATAAATAACGCTGAAAAATCGATGAAATCAATTTTTGCACATAAAAATGATTAAATGCCGCCTCAGTGCTTTAGTGGTTAAGCGCTTGCGTGCGAGACCAATAGGTCCTGGGTTCGAATCCCGCGAGGCGAGGTCGTGGATGCGCACTGATGGGGAGTTCCACAATAGGACGAAACGACCGTCCAGCTTCAATTGACTCATGATCTCAACTATTGAGATTGGGAAAAACTGAAATAATGGACACGATCCTTGAAAAATTAATAAGTTATCAATGTTGAATGTATTTTAACATTTTCACTTAAATGTGAAATTATGAATATTTCTTAAAGATAATAAATAGAAGATACACTATAACTTATTACTATTATTATCATTACTGAAAAAATGGAATACTTATTTACAATGAACCATTATGACGTGTAAATCTCTAAATACACTGTGACATTTTCTTTTCTTTATGACAAACAAAAACGGTGTGATAAATTCACTTCTTTTATCTCATAATATGTGAGAAAATTGTAAAATAATGCAAAAAGAAAAAAATGTGCTGAGCAACTCAAAAACAAAAAAAAAGAAGAAGAGTGAAGGAGTGTTCATTATTAATCAGTCAATCAATCAATCAATCAATCAGATGAAAAAAACAAGTGACCTTTTTTCAATAGAATAACTCAGAAAGAAGAAGAAAAAAACAATGTTGAAATTTCTTTATTACACCTCCACACGGTATGTTCGGCTAGGTGATAGTAGATTTTATTATTAACGTTCTGGAACCATGAATATAAAAATAACAAGAATCAAATGTTTATATTTACTATGGGAAATTAAGTGAATTATTTTGATGGAGTTTTGTTCTCTGAGCTGGATGGTTTGGTCCAAATCAATTAAATATTTTACTAAACTACTGATAATCAATTTTTGGATAGGTATTTCTTTTTTAAAAATTTAATCTAAAATTTGTAATGATGGTTTGTTTGAACATTAAAACATAGCACAAGTCCATGAAGTCACTGACAAGTGAACTGAGTCATGTTGGTAGGTGTAGACTACCTTGTTGGGGACCGCGAGATGATAGCAACCGATGGTTAGAGACCCTGAATGACATGGCTCAAAATCGTTTGCAATGGCGCAGGTACATCCACTCTTTATGTTCTCCCAAATTCTAATCTTCTGAATTCTTCATGTTCCTTTTTTCTCTTTCCAAACTTCTTTCACTGGATTATACTCTTTAAATAACATCTCCAAACCCTAATCTTCCCGATTACTGCTTATACTCTTGCTACCTCTACCACTACGGGATTTGAATCGACAACTGCATCTCTGTGCTAATGTGGTATGGCAACTCGAACTGATGTACGTACGTACGAAGTTCTACGTTGTTACTGACTGACTGACTGAACATCGATTCAATATATCCATTAGTATTTTTTTTAAGAATTAAACTTAGATCATTCATTTTGATTCGACTGTTCTTGTACTTACATTGTCAATTCTTGTGAAGAAAAGAATGGCTTCTCTTGTATGTTAAACATGAAAGCTATCTTGATATAAATAAACTTGGTTTTAATAAAAAGAAACAAATACTTAGTTTGAAGTTCTTCTGTCTATTGATCACTACACTATCCATAATATTTGAATAATTTCTGTAACATGGTGAGAATCGAATGCTTCTTTCCTCAATGGTAGTTTATGATAAGAACAATCTTATCATTATGTTTATGTTTATGAAGTGAATCTGACTTATAAAATAATTAGAAGTCTTACAAGTAAGTAACTGTCATCTCAGAAGACTCTGTGAAAATGGTGGAGACGATTGTTAGCTCACTTGAATCCTTTTAATAGAGTTTTATTCTCTGAACTTGATTGTTTGATCAAGAGGCTTTTATCAGTACTTTGAATATCATCATTATCTCCGGCTACATTTAAAAAAGAGCTATGTACAATAATTGTACAATTCTTAAACCAATTTATTCTCATAGGTTTGTCTGTAACGGTCTGTTCTCGCTGGTTTTACAATCATAATCTGTCATGGAATTCATGGTAACTGTTTTGTTAGGTTAACTTCCGACTATATAAATTCTCAATCTTATATGTATGAGTGAATAACTTGGATGTGTCGTAATCTGTCTTGATTAGAGATTTATCTGAATGTCATAGTTATAGAAATTCTTAAGAATTTTTAGAGCTTGTCCAACCAAGATTTCATTCACCTTCCAAAAGAAATTATGTTTTTAATTGTTTACGTAACTCAGTATCAGACGATCAAAGGTTAACCGAGGAAAGTAGTTCTTGTGAATTCAAAAACAAATAATTATCATATGATCAATGAAAGAAGCTGGTTGGAAATAAGGTCACCAGGGCTGACTGAATTAGCACATGTGCAACGAATTAATAAAGCTCTCTTTTACTTTAATTAGACAGTGACGATACAGTCTAGAACAAAGATTTAACTTCCCCAGTCAGACCGTTTGGCCTATAGAATGCAATGTCTTTAAAAACAGATAATTACTGGTTAAACCATTATCGATAAACCAAAATATGTATTCAGTTGTAGGATTGATGAATCAACTAATTATTTTTAAAAACCGTCTGAAATAAAACTTGAAAATCTTTTCAAATGCAATAAAAAGGAATCTCTTAAAGTAAAGGTGATGATCATAACATCGTAACAAAAGAATAATTAAACAGTTATCAATCATGAAAGGTTGTATCAATGACCTTTCGCATCTTGATAAATGGCCTATTTACTGACATTATTAAATAAAAATAGGTTTCCCTACCATTGCACTCATAATGTGCATGTAACTCCCGAATCTAATACATTTGAAGAGCATTTTCAAGATTCTTCAAAATATTCCATAAACTTCATTTTTGAAAGTGCTAAACAATTTCGATAGCATAGGTGCTAAGTAATTAGTAAATTCTGGACATCACGAAGATTACTTAGTACTTTACAGGACAATTGAAAGAGCTGTTAGTGCTTAATGCCTTTCCAATGTCGTTCAATAGGGTTATTGTTACTATGGTTATTAAAACCTCTTGGCACTTGCAGTATCAAACACCAACTATAACTATGTTAACTCCAAAAACTACTCTCCAGCATAATCACATTTATCATTCATCAATGTTTAGTCCAAAAAGAATGACCAACTAAAAACTTACTGTTAGAAAGTTGTGTCAACTATATTTAAACTCATTTGAAGAGAACAAAGGCAACACCTCTTTGGTTTTAATTTATCTCTGATTAAAATATAACCATAAAATTCAGATACTAAAGCAAGGAAAAAATAAATTACAAGCACCTATATCGTGATTGTTGATAGTCAGGCTAATTATTCTTATATGCGTTATTATGCTTGTCTATGCACTTTTAAACGAGTATTTCATATCCCATACCTTTAAATAAGTAAAATTACTTTCCTTTGAATAATACTATAGAACGTTTGAAATATCTCGACTTAATAAATAAGTTTTAGGTGATTTTTGAAACATTGAGAAATGATAGTTCAAGTAAAGCTACACTGTCCATCACTGTCATAGTACTAGACGATATTGTTTCAAACTACCACAATAGATTAGTTTTATGGGAGCGATATTCACATGAAATGTAGTTTTGTATTTAAGTAGAGACAATTTTTCACTTTTACTACTAGAATAAATAATAAAGCATCATGATCTAAGATATCATATTGCTAACTTTTAATGTTTGAAATACACGTTCTGCAGTGTAATATTAATACTTATTCCAGTGATCGAAGTGTTTAGATCAATATCAGTTACCTTTGTGCCGCTTTTAATTTGATATCAATCGAAAACTAAGATAAAACCTTTATTTCTGAAAGTTGATGTTCTAATTATTCCTTCTCATTATTACACGAAGGTCAATTATCAGGGCACCTACAGATACAGAAAGGTTTTAGAACTGCAGCAATATGCATATTTTAACAAGTAACATTAATGCTCCTCACGTATTCACATACATAATGAAGAGAGTGTGGAGTATATTACTTTGAAAAGAAAAGTAGACATTTTGGGCTTTATTTGGAAAGCACATTAGTAAGAACCTATTCATGATGCTTCAATGATAGCCAAAGCTTTTGAGAATGCACTAAAAAACATACCAAACCAGGTGTAAAAGCAGGATAAGATTGGACTTCGGACGTGAAATAATTCGTCGTTTACTATTTGAAGATAAATAATATGGTTATCGAATTGTAAGCCAGCCGACAAATAGTCTGTAACGACCAACCAGAAATATTTCAAGACTTTTGGCCTGTTGTGCTACATTCTTTTATTCTCAGAAATGTCCTGAAGTCTTTGTCTGGACATCAAAAACCTCTTGTAAATCCAATCCGAAACAAAGTCATCAACAGTAGTAGTAATAAATATTCCAACTATATTGTTTAGTGAAAAACAATAAACTTGCCAGTGAACCTACTTCTGTTCCCCAGATAATAACAGTAAAACTGATCACCGGACATTTCGAAAATAAAATTCGTGTAATTTTGGAATACAAGCTGTTCAAAAAAATGTAATCAAACAAGCCTAAAACTTTACATAAAGGCTTTTGTAGGTTTGTATGTAAAATAGTTGAAACTTGCATTCCTAATCACATGATTTCATTCACGGATAATACTCAGACGAAATTTTTTACCAAAATTAAAACGCCATAAATCAATATAAAAGAGTATAAAATACATCACAAACAGGTCATCAACTACAACTGATAATATAAATTAGGTCAATGCGAGTTCATTTTTCGCTGCTACTAGAATATTTGTTGTTTAATGACAAACGATACTTCACACTATTTCTTGTAATTATTACTGTGAAAAACGTTAATTTTCTACCACATGTTAAGAATTTGTTCAAACAATAAGCATAAGTATCCCTTAGCCAAAAGACTCGGGACATTTTATACTTATTTATGCATCCTTTACATTGGTTTACAATCCTGTATAAAGTGATAGCCAAAAGAGGTGTCAATTTCGAAAACTCAAGTACGGCATTCCAGGGCCAGTGAAATGTCACTGAGCCGTAGCCAAACAATCAGACAGTCAGGTCACTGAATATCAAACAGTTCATTGATCCTCGTCAAGCCCAGGGCGACAAACGCGCATCAATTAATCCTATGCCATAGACTGGCCATGCGGTGGGGATCGCACTTTCACTTGTACCTACTCTAACAAATATATTTCTGTACTAGCGTCATTTGTGTTGTAAGGTCTTTAAATAACTCACAGTATTTTGTTACGTTGGAGAAGTAGTCAACGTTAGATGTTGACCGAGAGGTGTGGCTTCGACACTACTTGTTTGTCAAACCATCCCCATTTAACTTGAGTAGGCCCCCAATCATTCGACATGGATTATCTACGTTGGTGATGTACAGCATGAATACACAGTACAGACAAAGTTTGTTATTTATCGTCAAAGAGTTCGAAAGAGCTGTTTTCCAAAGACAAACTTGTCTAATATAAGCCTTTAATGGTCAACCAAAAAAATTTAATTGTAGTTCTTCCATTAATGGAAAACAAATTCCCTCGTGTTTGCATACGATATAAGTAGTTAACACCTGGATAGTAGATGCAGTTTACATACTAAGTAGGGTAAAACTAGCCCACAACTAAATTGAAAACAATTTTGTAACAGTTCCTTTTAGTAGGCCGTCATATTTCTTATCTTCAAAACATCCAGTTAAAAATAAAACTTGAATGGTGAATAATCGACTTCAACTCAATAATAAAAACGTAGATAGGACGAAGGAATTTACTCATAAACATCCATAGGCTGCTAAACAGATCATAAGTATAAATTCTGATTCGAACGGCGAAATGAACCTAAATTCTAACATATGTGTAAATTTGATATGTAAATACGTAAATATGTAAATTCGATCAAAACACGTGATCATTCAGAAATTTTTGTTATACGTTGATTCCGACCAACTTAATACTACAAATCAGCATATATAAAATTCAATGACAACATTATTTCGACATTATATTAAATCTTACAAACGTTTTTTATAAGAAGCAAAACAAATGTTATATAAAAGAAATATGTAAGATTTTTAATGAACTGACTTTACTTGTGAAATAAACTATGTGAATTTGAGGCACTTAAGTGTAATAAGGCGCTAACCAGTTTCAGTCGGTTGGTTTTAGATGACTTACTACATAACTTAAGACAAAGCGAGACATACCTTTCGTCTAATGGTTGTCACCATTCGAACACGGTGAAAGTATAATATATACTATTTTAGATTATTAAAACAACTATTGAAAATATCAATAAATTCAAGCTAAAACACGAATGATATATATGCTTTTTATGCTTCCGTCGACTCCGAGCATTTTATTCTTCAATAAAAGTTTAGTATTCGAGACACCGACCTTTCAGGAGCTTCGATTAATTCACCTTGCTTCTTAACCTTTCGTAATATCAAAATTTTCTACTTAGCTATCTTTTGAAATGGAATCCAAGGCTATATTGTGCTGTACAATATAAGATTGGAGTTTTTGGGATCTAAAGAACTTCATAGACGATATTTTGGAGTTTTCACATATAATTCTTCGACTTCGTCCACGAATTCGACTTCTCGATGAGCTGAATTCTCATGGTATGATTGATTATAGTTTCCTCGCAGTAGTAAGACAAACAAGTTAATTGATGGTAAGTAGCAGGGTTACATTTATGTAATATTTTCTATGACTTAATCTTTTGATTTCAAATGTGTTGACCACTTTTGTCCTCAAACTTACCACTTAATTCCCAGATGTTCCCCTTATGTAACCTCATCACGTTTCAAATTCTGAAGGAGTAATTTCATTCCAATCCTTTCAGCAAGGTCTTCTTACAGCACGTAAGATCATGGTAAAAATAGGATCTTGATTTATTTGGTTCGCAGACACAGATATAGTTTTAGCTCAGTACTATTAACTTTTCATTTCTTATTTTTGTGCTTATATGCTTATATGCTTATGTGACCGCGCTTTCCGAACGGGAAGTTTAGTCCTAACGTGATTTGCATTTATCAAACTTTTGCTGTGTCCTCACGCAACAAAAGTGCCATTTCTGACCAAAAGAATATATATCCTGAGCTATACGTTCGGTAGATTGCTTTTTTTGAGTTCCACCCAGTTTAATAGTTAACTGGGGTTTTGCCTCAGCTTACTATTCGGTTTTTTTCAGTTTTTCACTTAAAGACTAGTTCAGCTTATCTCACTCGTTTTATCCATTTTTGTCCGTTTTTAGTGTGCTTTTTAGTGCATTTTTTACGGTTTTAGGCTTTTGCTAGCATCTACAACACAGTTTACGTTAATACAGTCGTGAAAAATTCATGCAAGCGACCTGGATGCCGTTTTGCTGTTACATCTGGCATGCATTTCGACAACTGTAAAGGTTGGTTCCACGAAGCGTGCACAGATCTCACAGCAACTGTTTACAACAGGCTCAGCAAGTCGGACCATAAGTGGGAATGTGTTACGTGTAGCACGGATGCTGCAGTCTTGCTGAGTAATATCATTGTCCTACTGACAGGTCTGCGGAGCAAGTTGTCGGCGAAATTGGGAAAAGACAGTCAAAAAATGGGTAGACAAACAAGACAGCGCATTGCAAAGGAGAACAGGGATTTCGACAGGTCTACCAACAACGGAGTATGCAACAGCGTTAATGATGACACTCTGAAACTCAGCACCATGATTACGACGACGGTACTCGACTCCCTCAGCAAACTCGGGTCTCACAGCTCAAGGTCCTTGAAAATGTGACGGTGGTTCCCAAAACCTCTAAGTTGAACATCCTAGCTGTTGAACGGAAGTCAACCGGTGATGTGGTCGCACAGTCTACCACCAAGATTGTCCGTCCGGTCATTAAAGAGCCAAGGATTCATAAACGTGCTTCGACCCCCAAACTACAAGTGCTAAACCTGAACGCACTGGAAAACTTGGGACGACAATAACGGTTCGTGATGACTCTCTCATAGTCATGAACTTCAAAGACAACCCTGACCTTCCTCTCAGTTTGCAGGACAAAAATGATAGGATGCTCTGGGGAGAATTGAATAAGAAACTTGGACTTCCAAGAAAAGAGCCTTTGACAGTCACACGGCACACTCGGGGAAAGGAATCCAAGCGTCAAAATCACCCGAGGCTACTTCGTGTAACACTTAAGAATGCTACCGACGTAGAGGATATCTTACTAGCGAGTCATTTACTGAAATCTTTGGGAATGTAAGAATACTGTCTGACATACCGTATTCTGAGCGCAACCTCATCCGGAACATCCCCAAAGAATCTCGCGATCAGTTTTTCCGCGGGAGGAATATAATCGTGCAAGATATACCGGAAAATACGGACCCTACTCAATCAAAGACTGACATCAGGGAATGGGAATTCATCAAACAGTCCTTGAGGCTCAAACACATACTGACTCAGCATGTGACGAGACTAGCCAAGAAGCACGGTGATCTTAGACCCCGTCTAATGAAAATAACCTTCCCATCTTCCCATATGGCGGCTGCAGTTCTGGAAGCATTTCGTGCCAACAGACGTCGACTGCCACCTGTAATCCACACGCGCCCGGATAGGCCATACGAAGCTAGGACCAAACACAAAGGCAAGTTGGAGCTGACCATTCCACTTGTGGACTGTCTAGACGACAAAAATCGTGTAAATGACAGGGCCTACCATCTGGGCAAGCCTCATATAAGTGGGCTACCTGTCCATTCACGTAAGGCTCATACAAACAAACAGGAAAAAGCTCACGCGTTCCAAATTGAGAGCATAAACAGCTTATATACGAACGCCGCGAGTCTACCAGACAAATTGGATGAACTACGGGAACTTAGCAATGCTAATAAGGCCCATCTGATAGGAATATCTGAAACCTGGATATCTTCTCAGTTCTCGGACCACGAGTTAGCATTACCTGGGATGTCTTTGTTCCGCAATGACAGAAAATCAGGAATTGGGGGCAGAGTAGCTGTTTACATACGTTATTGCCTGGAGGTGCACCAAGTTCATAACCTCGAGTTTAACAATCTTGAGGAATCTATAGGGTGCTCTGTAAGATTGTCTAGTACTCCGAGGTGTCTAGTCGGAGTCATTTACAAGAAGCCATTTGCCGACATCGAGTACGATAGTCGTATGCTAGAAGGACTATCCCGCTCTAGTCGTCTCGGTTTCACACACATCCTGATTCTAGGGGACTTCAATCTCCCTAGAGTCAACTTCGCGGCACACACGTATACTGGAGGCGACAACTCAATTGAAGCTCGGTTCTTCAACCTCATCGATGACTTGGGATTGTACGAAAATGTGGGGTCAGCAACTCGTTGGAGAAACAGTCAGACACCATCGCGCTTAGACTGTGTATTCACAAACGAAGAATTTCTGATTGACAACCTCTCAATCTTGGCTCCCCTGGAAAAAAGCGATCATGCCGTCATAGTCTACAGTTTTGTCAGCAAAACTAAGCTAAAATACCCCACCAATAACTTACGCTGGAATTTTAAACGGTTGAATGTGCCAGCTCTACACGACCATCTACAACAGGTGGTTTGGGATGCTCACCGCCAACTCTATGTGGACGGTCATTGGGATTTCTTACTGCACACGTTCTTAAGTGCTACAAACCATTCAGTTCCTCAAACGGTTCCCAAAAGGTGCAAGCCACTTACAGTAAACAAGAACCGTACCCTTCGCCTGCTAAGCCGCAAAAGGCACTGTTGGGCGGAATACAAACGAACTAATAACGATGGAGCGTATAGGCAATATAAACATATCAGGAACATATGCACGAAGGCTATAAGAGAAGACAGGCTTCAGTACCAAACAAAGCTTATGGACAAATTCGCCTCTAACCCTAGAAGCCTATTCCGTTACGCAGCCTCTCTTCGTCAAGCCAAAACAGGAGTTTCTCAACTGCTAGGTCTTGACGGCCCGACCAAAAATGATGGCGACGCCGCTAACCTTCTGGCTGAACATTACTCTCAGACATTTCAACCGACCGACATTAACTTTACTGATGACAGTTTCATTTGCAGTTCCACAGGACTTTCCGAAGTGAACCTAAGCGCTGACTTGGTGTTCCGGAACTGCAGCACTTAAGATTAGAGACTTCTCCTGGCCAGGACATGGTCCATTCTGGCATACTGAGGGAGGCAGCCTCAATCTTGGCAACGCCGCTTAGCGTGAGGTTCTCACACTCGCTAAGTCGAGGAAAACTACCGGAAAATTGGAGTCCTACTCACATCACACCAATTTTCAAAGGAGATCGACGCAGCGAACCTTTAAGTTACCGGCCGGTGGCTCTTCTCTCCATACCTTCAAAAATCATGGAAACCCTGATATGCGATGGTATAAATGGCTATTTACTGTCCTTAAGTTTCTTCTCACCCCAACAGCATGGTTTCAGGAAAGGTTACTCTTGTATAATCAACGCGCTGACTGCGGTGGACAGATGGACAAGCGTCCTTGATCACAAGGGGAAGGTTGATATCATCTACCCAAATTTCTCAAAAGCTTTTGATAAGGTTAACCATACATGTCTTATCAATAAGCTCAAACGGCTGGGTATCAGACCACCTCTAATCGATTGGCTCACTTCATACCTGAAAAATCGACACTTTAAGGTTAGGGTTAATTTCACTTTATCTCAGGCTACGGAATGTCCTAGTGGGGTCCACAAGGGCTCAGTACTAGGGCCTCTTCTCTTCTTGATCTACATAAATGTTCTTCCTCAACAGGTAACGTCAGACTTATTACTTTTTGCCGACGACGTGAAACTTTGGAGAGAGATACGCAACCAAGACGATATACAGGCACTCCAGGAGGATCTGACTCGACTTCAAAGTTGGGCAGACGATAACGGACTTACATTTAACACTTCAAAGTGTAAAGTAGTCCATCTGCGACGTGTCGCAAACTACAGTTACAACTTAGGAAACTCCTCTCTAGTAGTATCTCAAGTCAAAAAAGTTTCAGGAGTCCTGGTGCCCCATGATATAAAGTCTTACGCCAACCTTGACAAAAATGCCTTCCGAGCAAACCTTGCACTGGTAACGTTGAGGCGCATTTTTGGTCAGTTTGACGGAAGAACTTTCCACATAATCGTCAACAGTTTTAGTCGTCCCCATTTCCAGTACGGAAACATAGTATTTCCTCCCTCACTCCAAAAGGACAAGGTCACTTTGGAGCGTATCCAACGACGAGCCACGAAATCAGT